AACATCAACGAAATATCATGAAGAGATGGGTGTTGAGGTCAAGAACTCTCTAATCATTGACTAAGCTTTGGAATGTGTTGTGTGGCCAAGCAGCATGTCTTCTCAGCTATTAAGGAGGAAATCAGGTGGGTTAGAGAGGTGGCTTGGGAACTTAAGAAAGTAGGGATAAAAAATAGTGTGTGAGTCTGCTGATGGATAAGCCCTGGTTGTCTGTTGATTTATTTATTTACATTTTCTTGGTTTCATTAGTATCTTTATACTCCCATGACCAACCAGATAAGCTGTGCCACTCAGAGCCTATGAAGTTGGACCTTCAACCTCAGAGATTCCCATGACAATTTTCCTATTTTCCCAGTTTGTGGCTGAGATGCCAATTACAGCGTGCATTTCTTACTGATCTAGAGGCACTGGTTTTTACCTTTTTGTTTTTTCTTCTTGAGACATTCTGCTTTAATTTCAATTTATTTCCTTTAAGTATGTGCTTTTGGTTAGGAAGGAGACATGTACTTTTTCCAGTGGAAAATTATATGCTGATGTACATAATTAAGCATCAGAGAATGCAGGAAGATAAGAATTTTTTCTTTTTTTTAATCAAAATATTACCGACATAACATTATATTAGTTTCAGGTATACAATATAATGATTCAGTATTTGCATGTATTGTGAAATGATCACCACAGTAAGTCTGCTTAGCACCCATCACCACATACAGTTAAAAGTTTTTCTTTCCTGTGATGAGAACTTGTAAGGTTTACTCTCTTAGCAACTTTCAAATATATAATACAGCAATATTCACAGTAGTCATCACATGGTACATTACATCCCTGTGACTTATTTATTTTATAACTGGAACTTTGTATCTTTGGACTTCCATCACCCATTTTGCCCACCCTCCTCGCCCAACTTTGGCAACCACCAAACTGTTCTCTGTATCTATGAGTTTGTGGGGTTTTTTTCCCCCTCGATTCCATATATAAGTGAGTTCATACATTCTTTATCTTTCTTTGTCTGACTTATTGTGTTTAGCATAATGCCCTCAATGAGCACATTGCAAAATGATACCTATATTATGATATTTATATAAAATTTTAAAAATACAAAATAATACTATATTTCCATACACAGTAAATGGCTAACAACATGGACAGGAAAGATGCACACCAACTTCAGAAGAGAATTTAACTCTGGGAAGGGAAAATGGTGGATAGAATTGTGAATGGGTGCAGACCTGTACCCCTGAATCTAATAATACAATATATGTTATTATATATGTGTTATAATAAAGAAAGAAAGAAGGAAATAAAGAACTGTGAATGGGTAAAAAAATTTAAAACTTCAATAATCTTTTATTTATCTTTTTTAAAAAGTTGAAGCAAATATGCCCCCCCAAAAGTTGACATTTATGCCATCTAGGTTGGTGGGTACCTGGTTGTTACATTTTTTTTCTCTATTTTTCTCCATCCAAGTATCTCCCAGTAAAACCAGCCTCAGAATATGATTTTTTTTTTTTTTTCTGATCCAGAAAGCAAGTTGAACATACTGGAACATCTGGGGAGCTTGATTACCTACAAGCCCTGGGACACATTTGTCCTCCCAAGTGACTTAAAACCAGATATTAGCTGTTTGTGCAGCTTCTGTGCCTCAGGGCCGTAGAGGAAACATTTGTTCAGAGCCCTGGGGCAGCTGTACAGATGCCTAGATTCTGCTCCTAGCTTTGTGACTAACTCACTGGTAATAGTGAATTTCTCATATTTAAATCTTCATTGCCTTGTGGTAAAATCAGTCTGAGACTGTGTTCAGCATTGCAATTTTGTAACTTATACAAATTATATATAAATGTATATTTGAAATGTTAAATACACTAGCAGTTTGAGGCTCCTTTTACAATAATCATAGAAGCTAAAGCAATACATAGAATAAATGCAGATGTAGGAATAAGATTAATATATGTGCCATGGATGGGGCACCTAGGTGGCTCAGTCAGTTAAGCATCTGCCTTCAGTTCAGGTAGTGATCTCAGGGTCCTGGGATCGAGCCCCATGTCAGGCTCCATGCTCACCAGGGAGTCTGATTCTCCCTCTCCCTCTGTCCCTTTCCCTAGCTTGTGTCCTCTCTCTCTGCTTGCTTTCTCCCAAATAAAATCTTTAAATAAATAGTTGTGTGTGTGTATATATGTACACGCACACACACACACACATATACGCACAATAGAGTGAGATCTGGTTTTAAGTCTTGCTTCTCTGCCGTTCACCAACTATGAGCCTTGGTTTCCTGAAACACTAATCTTCTATTTCCTATGACAAGTATCATAATAAATAGCAACTACATCAGCTTGGAAAACTTTGATAGCAATCTTATTGTTGCAGTTGTTACAAATCAGTCACTTAACTTTTATGCCTGGAAAGGTATTAGAATAAAACCTCAAACAGCTAATTGCAGTCATCTTCCAAAGATGGGATGAGCATAGCGTGCCAATTATTCTTTAAAGCAGCAATAAAGTACAAATTTTCTAAACTAAATGGTGCCACATTCTTTAAAAACATGCATCCAAAGTAATTTAGTAAATTTCTCAGCTCAAGAAAAAAAGATTTAACTATATGAGGTGATAAACTTACTGCGGTGATCATTTCACGATGTATCAAATATCAAATCATTATGTTGTACACCTTGAACTAATACAGTGTTATATGTCAATTATATCAAAACCAGAAAATAGAAACAGAAAGAGACAAACAAAAAACACCAAAGTGATTTAAAAACAGTCCTGTCTCCATATGGGACCCTAATTAGACAAATTACGGATTGCTTCCAACACTTGAATTCTCTTTTATGTGGGCTGCGATTAAATGGTTGATTTGATTCCAACAAATCTGATTCCAGTAGATAAACTTTAAACATGCTTGATTTTTCATTTGTACTTTGTGGTGTGTACTCTCGCCATTCATTTATACAGAATGACCCAAAGCAGAACCGCATGACCACAGGGAACGACAGTCAGTCAAGACTCACATTTGTGAATCTCAAAGTTAGGCTATGCTTTGTGATGGAACAGAGAATTTGGACAGTCACCTGCCCTGCCTAGAACCAGGCACAGTTAATACCCTTGGACCTCTAGTTCTGCTGACACAGTACATGGCTGATTACATTTTGAAGGCTCGGTTTTACAGAGCCATGTGGTATCCCAGGGGTCTGGTGAATGAAAAGCTTCTGCAGCTTATCAGCAGAAAGATAAGAGAAAGGCCCTGGTTCCACTGCCAGTGCAGGGAGATGCTGATCACCCAGGCTTCTGAGAACAGGAGTCTGACCCACACTGAACACTTCAGCAATAATGTCAACATACCCAGGACCACAGCCAGCAAGGAATTCCCTGAGATAAGATTACAGTGTTGTCCTTAAGGGGACGCCAACCAAGTCAGTGGATCTCCAAATATTCCCTGAGTAGAACAGCCCTGTAAATTGTCCTTTATACCAGGGGACTTGAGGACCTCAGTGTTGGGGCTTCTAGATGCAGACATTGAGGTATTGTTTTCCAAAGTACACATAAAACTCTAGCAACGTCAGAGTCAGTCCCCATAAGGTCAAGAGCCTAAGCTTGGGGCCCTCAAGATCCACCAGTTAAAAAAGCTGGAGACAGCTCTTTGTTGGCAAAAGTATTTATCCACCTTCCTTGGGGATTTTGTTTCTTCTCTACTGGCTGTGTCTGGGCCAGAGGGCCTCTAAAGCCAGCTTTGTCCTCCAGGCCAGGTCTAGGATGAAGTCATTACAGGAAAAGGTGATTCAGTCTTTGAGAGGAATAGGTATGAAAAACCACTGCAATAATTGATTTCAATACCTAGTCATATGTTTGGTTTAAATATCAGTGTTCAAACCGGTGCTGGGACAGCATGCCCATGAGGGGTCAAGGCAGAGCTGGTCAGGGATTCTTCTAAGACCACTTTGGTAATGAGAAACAGCAGACACAGAGAAGTAACTCACCTTCACTTTGTCATCCAGACCCTTTGTGCTTTGGAATGCCTCACATTCATTCCTCTGTACCCCTGTGTGCTGCCCTAGTATGGCCTTCTGGTTCTGACCCCACCTTCCCAGGGCTATGCTGTATATAGTGACCAGATTAATTAACAACAACAACAAAAAAAAAACAAACCCATCTTTTTATTGTGTCATTTCCCAGGATAGTCTCACAATAAAATTCAGACACTTCTAGTTTATTATTAAATGTCCTCACCCATCTTTCTATCCAGTTTCTCTTTCTCCATCAAACCTTTGTTTCATGCAGAGGATCTCCTTATGGGCTGGTGTTAACTTATTTTTCAATATTCATGCTTTGGTTCCTGCTGTCTCTCCCTTTTGGAATTCCTTCTCCCCTTCTCTTCTACTCAGACACATCTCTTCCATTAAACCGTTTCAGACCAGTTCCCGCCTACACTGATCTGACCTCCCTCTGAACTCTGCTAGCTTATCACCTAGAGTTCACACCAGCCTTATGGCAATTAATCACATTCTACTATATGAATTTGGCTTTGTTTTGCATGCTCTGTCTTGCTCTTTTGCTCTTTTCTCTTTTTCTTTGAGTGTGTGTGTGTGTGTGTGTGTGTGTGTGTGTGTGTGTTTTGTCCGTAGATAGATAAGAGGTGTTTGAAAATAAAACCTAGGTCTTAAATGTCTTTAAAATATACTACCTAATAGATGGTCCATAACATGGTTATTGGTTGGTAATTCTTGCTTAGGATCTTGATTTTTTTTCTCATGAGGGTAGGAGTCCTTATCTTCTGTTCACTCCGATATCCACAGCTCCCAGAGCAGTGCCTTGCACATTAAATATTCAGTGAGGGTCAGCTGTTAACCTCTAGAGAGGGCTGCCCTGACCACGGTCTGCAGCGGGCCTTGACATTCTGCCTTGTGTCCCAGCTTTCTGAGTGATGGAGTCTTACTCCCAGCCGCAAACCCTGTCCCCAAACTGCTTCTGACATGGCTGTATCTGTCTGTTCTTTCTCCTCAGATGCATACTCTCATTCCTCAAGTGAAAATGGAGGCAAGTCTGAGTCAGTGGCCAACCTCCAGTCTCAGCCCTCCCTGAACTCCATCCACAGCTCCCCCGGGCCCAAGCGTTCCACCAACACCCTTAAGAAGTGGCTAACCAGTCCCGTGCGCCGGCTCAACAGCGGGAAAGCAGATGGAAATATCAAGAAGCAGAAAAAAGTACGAGATGGCCGGAAGAGCTTCGACCTGGGCTCTCCCAAGCCTGGGGATGAGACGACACCTCAGGGAGACAGTGCCGATGAGGTACGTACACGTGGCCCTGGAGCCTCCATCAGAGGGACCTCCTTCACCGGGTTCTGTAAACCTCCCAGTCTCTAGACCCCAGTAGATTGTTTTCTTGAGCCCAAGGAATCTGAGTTTTTGTACCAACAAGATCTTACCAGGCCAACACGTGACCATTTCAGAGACTGACTAGCACCTAGAATTTCCAGCAGATAGACAACACTTTGCCAGATTTGGAGATAGGGGCCTGGGCCCAAGGGGAGCCATTTGGTCACCTATTCCCCTGCTTCTACTAAAGACTACATCAAAACCTGCTAGTTGAGAATAAGAATGGAAGAAGGTCCACCATTTCCCTTGGAAGGAGAAGGCCATGCTGGGAGAGTATAACTGTTTTCAGTTGTCTAGAGCAGTGCCACATGTAAAAGGGAATAGACAACTCCAGGTGCTCAGGGGGGAGAATTATGACTAACAGGCAGAGGTTTGCAGAAGGCTAGGTTGCAGCCCAAAGAGGGACTTGAATGGAAGTCAACCAGTGATGAGCAAGCAGTCATGAAAGCGAACAGACACCAGGGCTAGAAGGGGCAGGGATGACGTATGACCTCACATAGCAGTGGGAGAGGTCCCTGTATTAGCCAAGAGGTCAGACTGGGTGACCTCTGAAGTCTCTTTCAAAGCCGAGATTCTATAATCAAGATACAGTGGGTGGGGCACCTGGGTGGCTCAGTGGGTTAAGCCTATGCCTTCGGCTCAGGTCATGATCTCAGGGTCCTGGGATCGAGCCCCGCATCGGGCTCTCTGCTCAGCAGGGAGACTGTTTCCCTCTCTCTCTGCCTGCTTGTGACCTCTCTGTCAAATAAATAAAATCTTAAAAAAATAAAATAAAATAAAATGCAGTGGGTGTGTTCTAGTTGGGGGAATGAGAGTGGTTTTTTTTTCTGGCCAACTAACCTGCTCTAATCGTTGATGGGGCTAAGCAATTCTTCCTGCTGTGTAACCAGACTCTGTTTGTAATTTTAGGCTATTTGCCATTTCTCCCTCTGAGGATGACAGGGGAGCCTGGTGATACTCAGATTGTGGCTTAATAGTCCTTCAAAGGCTTAAAAAGTTAGGCTCCCTCTGACCACTCTCAGCTTTTTCTTTTTCCTGATTAACAAGGTTGATGTTTGTCATGTGTGTGTGTGTGTGTGTGTGTGTGTGTGTGTGTGTGTGTTTTCCCCCATTTTAACCTCACTGTCCTTTGAGATGAAGGTGCACCCATTCCACAGAAGAGAACAGTGAGGCTAAAAAAATAAGGGTGTGTTGAGGAAGGAGGTTATCTTATATGTTGCTTTTTAAAAAAAACTCTAAGTTTTTTTCTAAACCACTGGTATCTTTATATGAAACAGAGGACTGTATGATTAATGCTGCTCTTTTGTTCTAGAAGAACAAGAAAGGTTGGGGCGAAGATGAGCCAGACGAAGAGTCACACACCCCTCTTCCACCTCCTATGAAGATCTTTGACAATGACCCTACGCAGGACGAGATGGTAGGACTCCTTTACTTTCTCCCTTGAAAGAACAACGTGTAATACATGTGATTTTGTCTTGTGTGTATGGTGGGGGTAGTAATACTCTCTCTCCCTTGTTCTCGCTCTGAATCTATAATAATGGAGATTTGTCTATATTCGGTAGTTTACCCTCCCCCTGCCGAGAAGCTCTGACTCCATTCTGGGCAGCAGAGGGGCATGTGCAGCAATCCCAGAGTGGGACTGGTGTCTCGTCCTGTTGATGGAGGATAATGGCTGTGTCTTCGGACACTGCAGATCCTAAAAGGAACTGTGTGTCTCACAAGGAGTCTGAGGGCGGTTCCAGGCCGAGATCCCTTTGTTGTACCTGACGTCTGAACTGTGTTTTCGCTGATCGTTTTCCCTATACTCAACTCTAAAATCCAAATAGCAGTAGCTTCTGGTCAAGCCCAAATTCTGCAAGAATGGGAGGGAAGGAGATGCTGCTAAGGGGGGAGGGGAGGTTGCTGACAAAGGTGGGAAACCTAAATAAATGCAGGCTGTCGCATGCTTGGTCTTGTAAAATCTCTGGCTCCTGAGCACGCGGAGGCTCCCGGGTGCCTGGAGCGTGGATGTCTGTGTGGCCTCGAAGCCCCGAGCGATCACCCTGATTGCTCTAGAGGCTCAGCTTGGACATGCTGCCCAGTACCAGCCAAGGCTCAGGGCTGCTTTAACTGCACACTCCGTCACTCATTTTCCTAGCAAACCCTGCTTTCACCTCAGTGTGTTTTTCCTGCCTTCTCTTTGTCACTGTCCCCTTGGACTCTGTAGGTTTTAACTGTCCTTTACAGTTTCTTTTCAGAGTGGCTTGTGGTGGTGGTGGTGGCTCAGCTGTCCCTCTGAGGACAGCCCTGTGTTCCCTGCTGCACCGCCTTGCAGTGGCACGGCTTCCTGTGGGCAGGGGGCCAGCAGGGACGGGGAACAGATCTTTCCACCAGCTCCTGGCATGCAGTTCAAAAAGTCCAGCTTGCCCATGCTTTAGCATGTCCAGTTATAGCCCCGTCCTGGAGCTCATTCCCTCCACTTTTATTGGGTCACGAACCCAAAGACATTGGTTGGGGTCTCCCAGGATGCCACACAAGAGGGAGAGACTCTAGGGACAGGACGATGACAGTTGCCCTGCTCTGGGATTCTGCCATGAGCCAGGCACAGCGCTGGCCCCTCCTACAGTGACGCTGGTGGCCCCTGTTGGAAGGACAAGTAGCGGGAAGTGTGGCGCGAGGCCCATCCCGGGTTCCCAGGAACAGAAGCGCCCACACTCCACACTGAGGTCCGCATGGGAGCCAACCTGCTGTGTTCCCAGAGGCCTTCCCTTGTAAAATGTTCCACAAACAGTGATCGCGTGTGTGGGGCGAAGGACGCTCCTGTCACAGCATTAGCTGTCCCACACGACCTTTGGCAAGGAGGTGCCAGCTGGCCTATGATAAGTAAAGGTCATGGACCCACCCCCTCAAATTCCCTCAGACACAGCTTGTTTGGGGGAAGAGGATGTTATGTTGTTTCTGGATAATCTTTAACTGAAAAGGCGGACTTACCCCAGACATTTGTGTGGCCTTTTTGTTAGCCAGAAAGAAGACAGATGGCAATGGTCCCTTTTTAGACATATTCATCCTCCTCAGCCCCGCCGGTTTGATTTCTGTGCGTTTATTTTTCTGAAACATTTGGGGAGCCTCAAAACTTCTAGCAATTAGAGTCAAACTTATTAAAATAAGTTTTTACAACAGTCTGTAAGGAATTTTTTAGTCTACCTATTTTAATGTTATACAATCACCTGGATTCTCCATGTTCCCCTCTAATATTTGTTCATATGTATGTATGTTTTATTTTTATAGTTTCAATATATACTTGATATGTTGAACGTTTTATTTAATATTTTTTAAAATCTTACTAATTTTATCTTCGTAACTACAATTTTAATAGCTGAGGAGTATTTCCCTTATTCGATGTAGCATAATTTGCTTGGCCAGTCTGTTTTGGGATATCCTGGGTTGTTTCCAGTTTTTGCTACCCTAGATAACACTGCTACAGATCACTTTGTACATACAGCATTTGTTCTTTTGACTTCTGTCCTTGGGATAAGTTCCCAGGGGTAGGATTACTAAATCAAAAAGTTGATAGCTTGGATTTCCAAACAGGCTTAAACTCCTTTCCTGCATTCCCCAGAAGAGGAGAAAGAGTGTTGTTCTCTCTCTCTTAATTATTATTTGATTTTGTTTTACCCTATCTCAGGAGCAAAGACCTAGAGTAACTCTTAAACTAGACAAAAAGTAGCTTCTTTTTGAAACTTTTCCCCCTAATGTAAGGGACAAACTTGATGCCAAAGCATGGCCAGGACTTTGAGCTTTTTATCTCTGCATTGATCAGTGTCAAAGACTGAAGGAACATGTGTCTGGGGCCCGGGGAGCACAGTTGCCCTCTGCTTGGCTGTGCCAAGGGGAAAAGTTCATACATGCATGCAGGGTGAACCATTTCTCCCCCAATTTCTTCTCAGGTAGGAGAAGGAAGATAAAAACCACTGCCCCTCCATGAGCAGGATTCCCCACACCATTGGCCATCCAGCCACATGCACCAGTCAGTGCTTCTTGCTGGTACAAAGGGATGGTGGGCAGGCCCTTGGCTTGAGCCTCCTTTTACTGTGAATAGGACAGTCCCTAGTGACTCTAGCATGAGACATTCAACTCCTTGCTAGAATCATGCATTATATCCACATGTTTCAATTCAGGAGCAACACAAACAGCTATGTTTGTGGAGGGGTGTATGTGTGTGTGCATGTGAGTGGGCAGGGGGTTTCTAGCATCCTGGTCTTTAAGTGCCCTGCCCTAAAATTTTTGCTTGATACACACTGAAGATCTATGTTTAAAATCTGTATTTAAGTAAAGCAAAGACAGTTTCTCTCCTTTGGACACATTTGAGGCCAGGTTTATGGACCCCTTTCATACCCTGGAACAGCAATGGGCAGCCCTGTTGTGGCCAAAGTTCTATCTGTCCCTCTCCCCCTGTTGCTGACAGTGGGTGCAGGCCTTACCTGTTGGCCTCCCGGGAACTCAGCAAACCCTACCCTCAGTTCCTCCAGAGGCCTGCCTAAGGAGAACCTAGTCTCATCCCTGCCTTTCTGCTGGCCAGAACTCCTGACAAGGAGTCAGGCAGGACTATCTGACACCCACACCACTTCCTACCTTGCTCTGTGATTTCTTGCCTCTAAACATAAAGCTTTGCTTCCCTTGCCTGCCTTGAGCTGTGGACTTGCTGTTTTGCTTCCTAATTGCTATTCCTCATTCCTTGCTAATCTGCTTTTCCTTTGCTGCTCAATGTCTTGCAGTCCTCTTTGCTAGCAGCCCGGCAGGCTTCCACTGAAGTACCTTCTGCTGCAGACCTTGTCAGTGCAATAGAACAATTGGTCAAAAGCAAGCTGGTAAGTGGGGGTCCTGGAGGCAGTTTTGTGTGTGTCTTACCTCCATGTGGCTCCCAGGGTCTGGCATCTGTCTGCCATGGCCTCCTTTGCACCTGTCCTCATTCCTCCTGTGGGATTATTTCTAGCTAAGGATGGTTTCCCAAAAAACCTGTGCTCCACAGTCTTTTTAGCTCCTTTTTTTTTTTTTTTTTTTGAATGGGCATGGGCAATTAATGGCCCTTTGGGATTGTGTCACTAATGAAAGGAAAAAAGTATCCAACACAAAACAGCATCTCTCTGAGCCCGGTCCACTGACCCATAGGGATGCAGCATTTGGACAGTGACTGGTGTATGTCTGGTTAGCCCTGAAGCTAATTCAGCTACTGAGACACAGAACATGATTTGGGTCTTTGAAAGTACCGGGTAATTTTATTTGCGGACCCCAGGCGAGTTTCTAGCCTCAGAGTCTGGCAAAAGTAGATATTATATAGATAGTATATATGGTATATAGTATGTATAGTGTGTATATATATATGTATGTATACATGTATTATGTATATATAATATCTACTATCTATAAATACAGATATATCTATATCTATAAATATAGATAGTAGATATTATATATATCTATATACATATAGATAGTAGATATTATAAAGGGGCATGGGCCAAAATGTGTAGCTCTCTCACTGCAGGAGATGAGGGGAGCTGGTGTGTACCCCCATCATGGGGGACAGTCGAGCTGACGGCTACTGAAAACTGGCCTAGCTTGTGACTATCTCAGGGGCCAAGCAGATGACCGCAGAGAAGGATTATGGGTCTGGCTACTTTAGGGTTTGGGCTCCATGCTGGTGAAAGAGCTTGTTTTTGGATAATGTTATTCCTCTACACCACGTTTTTACACTGACGTGTATTCCTACAGGATGACAATTTAAAGCATTCTCCTTGCCCTTCACCCTCATCTGTGTCACTCGTTTGGTTTTTCTCAAAACTCTCATTAGGATAAATGTCTGTGCTTCTGCCAGACTTCTCTTGGAGAGTTCTGCTAATCAGCACCATATAAACCCTTCTCCCCTTGGCCCAGGAAAATGCTGGATGCCGTGCAGGGAACGCTGCCCAATCATAATTCTGATTACAGCAACTCCGTCTTCAAATCTCCCAGCTTAGAGAATACTGATGAAATTTAACACGTGATTTTCTTCTCCTTCTAAGTTTTCCATCCTAAGTAAGAAAGACTTTTGCAGCTGATGTTTTCAATAACTGTATCTAACTGTTCTTGAGGGCTGTCAGGTCTCCGGTCACCCTCCCTGTCTCTCACTGGTAGGAGGTCGAGTGCTCGTGTGGGCACTCCATTGGCTTTTCAAAGCTTGCCTCTTCAACCACCCCCCACTTGCTCTCCTTTCTTCTTCACACTGACCCATACACCCTTTTCATGATCCAAATACTGTCTAACAATGTTTTTCCTTAAAGGTCATCCTTTGTTTTTTTTCTTTACATTGTCCTCTTCACCACCAGTGCCTAAGCCCTCACCTCATGCCTGGACTATTGAAGTAGTCTCCTGCCCCACTCTGCCTCCCTCTCAGGCCTCCGTCCTCTGGCAGGTCTTCCACATGTACTGCCATTGCCTTCCTCCTCGGTGAAGGGTCACTGTCTCCCTCTTGCCTCCACAGTTGTCTGCAGGGTGGGGAGCCTTCAGGTACACAAGACTCTTCACTGACGTGCAGGAAGATAATTTTAGCATCTCTTCATCATTTAAAAAATGATTTGGAGTACATTTTGTTAGGTACATAATGATAACACAGTAGCACAGAAATACAAGTTATAAATAAGTTACATGTTTGGGCAATGTATGGCCAAAATTAGGTTTCCTGATAGAGGTATATGATCAAGGTTTGGAACTCACTGGATAAAATATTCCATGGATAAAATTCACATTTACCCAGTATTCTAATGCTTTGTAGGCAGCCTACCACCACTTATTTATTCTGGTTGATGAACTCTGCTCCAACCAAATTGTTTTCCTCATGCATTTGGCTCTCCTCCCCCCAAGTTTCTATTCATACCACCCTACTTCTCTGGAACATTCCCTCTCTTATTTTTGCTTATCTAAAGCACAGTAGTCCTTCGGGGCCCCACTGGAATCTCATCTGCCCAGAAGGGCTTCCCTGACCAGCCCAGGCCAGATTTCCTCTGCAGTCCCATGCCAATTACTGTGTAAGCCACATACTGCTGGGGCCAGCTCTTAGATAGTTCTGTTGCATTATTTGTTAGAGTATCTTAATCTTTTCATTATCTTTGTCTGTGTAGCTTCCCTACCCAGCAAGATTAGGACATGATTTTCCCCTCCTCCATTAGTACACAAGAGGCTTTTACACTCATACATCAGTAGACACTTCTCTCCAAAATGCTATATTTTTGTATATTTTCGATTACCTTTTATCCTGATATTACTGCCCACCTGAGCTCTCTGGGAGTCCCCCCCTGGCCCTTCTAGTTGTGTGATCAGTGTGTCTGGTATTAAACAGGTAAGGGCAGATATTGAGAAGTTGGGGCGCCTGGGTGACTCAGGTGGTTAAGTGTCTGCCTTCAGCTCAGGTCATGATCTCCAGATTCTGGGATCGAGTCCCACATCTGGCTCCCAGCTCAGCAGGGAGTCTGCTTCTCCCTCTCCCTCTCCCTCCCCTCTGCCTCTCCCCCTGCTTGTTCTCTTTCTGTCTTTCTCTTTTTGACATAAATAAATAAATCTTTAAAAAAAAAAAAAAAGTCATTGAGAGTAAGTTTCCCAGAAGAGAGGAAGTGGAGGGTGTTACTGGAGCAGATCAGCCCTGTAACAGGCCCTCAACAAACCTCTATCAGATGAGTGGTTGCTCTGTGGTACGTTTCCACAATAAGAACTTTAACTTGTCCCTCCACCAATAAGTACTCCTTGAGGACCTGCAGTGAACCCAGAATTATAGAGATTTCTTTGGCCAAACAAATAACACCAACCCCATATCATGGAGAGGAATGAGAGAGCAGCAGCGTGGTTTCTCAGACTCTTCTCCTCAAAATTTGATCCTTTGTCATTCCTCTGCTTTCTCCTCCCTCCCATCCCAGTATGTACCCACTGTAGGAGAGCAATGAACAGCAGCGTGTGGTGGTTTCCCCAGGCATGTTGGAGAATCCTGAGTTGCATTTTTACCTCTGAGACTTGTATTCCTATTCCTCATTAGCTCTTTAGCTGAAACAAGGGTAAGACCTAGAACCTATGAAAGTTCCAGAGTTTTTATTTGACTGTGAGTACAACAGTGTGACAGCTGCCAAGATAGGCAGTGTGTTCATAGGCTAGGTTAGTGAAAGTACAATGTACAGTCAAGGAGAGTAACTACCCCATAGTCCTCCAAGTTCTTCAGTCCACACCTGCCTTGAATATATGTGAGTCATGTATCAGGTTCTGAACGCAGCATTCTGAAGTGTTCTTGAACTCAGTGCAAGGGCCCCAGAGGACGTGAACAGTACCATGTGGTGTCCACATCATTTGAAGGGAAGTTGAAGGTACTGGGTTAAATGAGGGGAGAAGTTAGGAGAGAGAAGGCTAGTGAGAGCTGTCTTGAATTCATTGAGGACTGCTGTGGAAAAGAAGGGTTGGTCTCCCTCTGTTGCTCCAGAGGGTGGAACATAGACCTGTGGGTGAAAGTTATCTTAGTTCAGTATGAGATGAGGTAATAAGTTCCTTTCCAACCAACAGAGTCTGGAAATTTTACAGGAGCATCTAGCATACTTGGACTTTTATATCTAGGGCTTAGATTCTTTCTACTTTCTGTTTTGGAAAATAGTAGGAAGAGATAGCACCAAATTCTGCTCTACCCAAAAGCCTGGAGATCCCTGTGTCTTGGAACCCCAGAGCTGCCCTTGGTATGTTTTGGTCACGTGGTCATGATGGCACCAAGGCTTCTGCCTTAGAGTTGCTGGTAGGAAACAAGGGTGGGTGTTCTCCAGCTCACCTATGATACAGACAAAAACCCTTGAAGCTTCCCCCGGAACTCCTTTGACAAGTTCCTCTGGACATCAGTGGACACTTCTGAGTTCTCATCTGCCAGCCTCAGTTTTGAATCACTGCTTTTATTTACTAAGAGAAGATGCCCACCCACCTCCCCCCAAACAGATCTCACACATTTTTTTCCACATTTTGTATTAAAATGTTCTCTCTAACTCCAAGCCGGGTGTAAGGACTCTTCCTACTTTCCCTGTGTGATTTTTCTTTCTTTTTTTTTTTTAAAGTAAACTCTATCCCAAAGTGGGGCTCTAACTGACAACCCTGAGATCAAGAGTCACTTGTTCTACCAACCAAGCCAGCCAGGTGCCCCTCCCTATGTGATTTTTTTTTAAGATGTTTTATTTATTTATTTATTTATTTATTTATTTATTTATTTGACAGAGAGCGAGAGAGAGACCCAGTGAGAGAGGGAACACAAGCAGGGGGAGTGGGAGAGGGAGAAGCAGGCTTCCTACTGAACAGGGAGCCCGATGAGGTGCTAGAATCCAGAACCCTGGGATCGTGACCTGAGCCAAAGGCAGATGCTTAATAACTGAGCCACCCAGGCGCCCCTCCCTGCGAGATTTTTAATAAAACTTTTCCTAGATGTGAGGACAGGTGGTGATGGTGGTGGGTGTGCAGGGAATCAGAGACCTGGGTTGTAGTCCCGCCTTGGCTGTTTATTGTGTAGCTGTGGGCAGTTACTTAGTCTACTTGGGCCTCTCTTTTATCTCCTTTATCAGCAGGGATGATTCTGTCCAGCTGAATCTTATCTCAAAAGAGATACCATGATGATTGAGTAGGTGTGAGTGTGCTTTGTAAAATGATTTGTAAAATGATAAGCAAGCACGCTACAAATGTTCGCTCTTAGCCACCTCATCCGGGATCTGTGTTAATGTCGGGGGAAGGCAACAGAGGCAGCCCTTTCATAGCCCCGTCCTGGGCCATGAGGACACAGTGTGTGTCAGCCAGTAGATGAGCAGTTGGGTGAACAGGGCAGGGT